CACACACACACACACACACACACACACACACACACACACACACACACTATATTTCAGATTTAGAATACAATCTTTTGATTTTTTTTTAAAGTTACCTACAATATTTTCCATTTCAACCAAATAAGACTTGACTAAAATTAAAATTTTAAAAGGCACCTGTGGGAACGAGGCATCCAAATCCCATATTTCAGTAACAACCATTTGAATGGGAATTGGACGTCCCATTCCCTTAGGCAACCTGCATTGATTCTGCACCAAAACCCAGTAAGCAGATCTCTGTGACACATAAGACAACAACAGGTAAATCATGAATTCCCCCTTCCCTTCAGACACAGATGCAGGCCTACAACATTTTTCCACCTCGGTCCCCATTTCATAGCTAGAGGCTTTGACTTTTAGGAAGAGAGGAAGCCTTTTTAAAAAGAGAAATAAAAGGAGACCGTAATGGCTAGGTGGCAGGAGAACAAGGAGAGAGAGAGGCATCCTACACCAGTACCTGTGTGAGTCCTCTGATGAGCCTTTAAGTGGGAGCTCTTTGTATAAACCTTCCGGCACCCGTTGAACTGACAGCGATGAACCCTCTTCTTGTTTTCCGGGGATGCCTCGGCCCCTGCCCCTCCTTGCTCGCTGTCATTCTGCCCGCTCTTTATCGTGCCTCCTGCGGCCACCGCCGCCACTCCCACCTTGACTGAGGTGAGCGACGCCTTCTTGGCCACCAGTTTCAACGTCACCGTGCCGTCCACTGCGGAGAAAGTTTGTGGGGTTTTTACCAGATGGCGGCTGAGCTCAGGAGAGGAAGGGGGCGTTAATGAGGTCACTGCGTTGAGTTGGGCCTGGTTGACAGCGGCGTAACCCTCTATGGAAGAGCCGGTGGGCTGCAAGCTGAGGCACGTCTCAGACAGCAGCTTGTCCCGTGAGAGGATAAGGTCCATGTTGGTGCTTTTGTCGCAGGTACTCGTCTCCACTGGCAACAGGATGGGGTCCAGCCGTCGGATACTGTCCTCTGAGCCTGGCGGAGAGGAGGTGTGAAGGAAACAGTCCAAATCCTCACCAAAGTTCTCTGAGATCTTCCTTGGCTCTGTCTGAAGATAACGTTCCAACTCAAGGCATGTCTGCAGGGGAGACGGGGAGGGAGGGAAAGAAACCATCATTAGAAACCCATCTCAGCATTAACCCCCAGCTGGGGCAGGAGGCAAGGCATGGTAATCTCTCTGTGTCCAGAACAGTTCAGAGATAGCATTTATACACACCAAAGCAGTCATGCAGAAAGAAACAAGATAGGAGAAGGTTTATGGTACAGACCAGCTTTGGAACTACGTTGTGATGCAATGCATGTGATAAACTGCAGAGCCATAGGAAAAGTGTCCAGTGTACTTTTTAATCGCCTCACCTGCACTCTGCCCACTGATCTGTCTCCACATGGAATTATTCTAACAAGCCAAACCTCTGAGCAGCTTCAGGTAGCCATCAGTTTTTTAAAAAGTAACATTTCCAGAGAATTGTTTATTCTTTCTCTACACAAATGTGGGATTTCACCCCCAAAATTACCCCAGTCCAAAGCATTGCTCAGCTAGGACCCAGTCTGATCCTAAAAGTGGCACAGTTTTGAAGTCCACTATCTTGAAACTCTGCAGGGCTAGAAGCAGGTGACTAGAAGAGAGAGATTCCCAATGGGACCCAACATTTGCTGTTCAACCCTGGAAGGTCCTGACCCAATGGAAGATGTGACACGTAGGCACAGAAAAGCAACTTTGGGTCATTTTTAGAGGTTTTTCTGGCTCCCTGTACAGTGGCGCACACCTGACTTTTACTTAAACACACACACACACACTACTTACAAAAGACTTGATTATGGTGGAGTTAACGTGGCCACCACACAAAGATTGCACCACCTCTCTGTAACAAACTACGAGCATGGATGCAATGCTGTGGTGCAAAGACTTTCCCAGCCTGAGGTCGGGATGACCACCTGACTTAAAAGTGGCCAAATGAGGGCCAGTAAAGCCTTTCAGCACATCACATCATCAGGTATTCTCCTTATTTTTACAGAAAATAGTTAGAAATAGTTTGGGAAGTTTTACAGAGTTTAATTAGTGCTATTTTTCACACCCCTCAGCCTGAAAAGCCTGGCCGTGTTCGCATCTTGATTCTAAATCTACAAGAGTTGGCATGAGACAAATCATTTATCTGATTCATTTTTGAAACCTCTACAAATTATCCCTGAGAGAGTGCTTCCATATTATAGAATCATAGAATATTAGGGTTGGAAGAGACCTCAGGAGGTCATTTAGTCCAACCCCCTGCTCAAAGCAGGACCA